ATATAACACAGAGCTATTAATAACACCCATACGAAACAGGCTTAATTTAAAAAAATGTTGTGATGTGATAGTATTGTATAGGTTCTAAATCACTTTGTTTTTAATAACTGATCATTGCTGCAAAATAAATAAATAAACACTTAAACTTGTTTTCTATTAAACTTAATCAAGACTGAAAACCTAATAAATATCTGTTTACATATATTTATAGCTTAATTGAAAGGTTTTAAAACCTCGCCGGGATGTGGTACGTATTTGCGTCATGACATAAAAAGATAAACGAATCCATTTGAACGCGTTATCTGTTACCAACTGTTCGAAAGAACCGATTCGCGGAAATGAGTCGGACTTGACATAGTTTACCAGTGTTTTGGTTCATGTGGAGTAATGTAGGCGGAGCTGGCGGGTTACTGCTTTGGTTTACCTGAACGGGAGCATTTCCTATCTCACGTTAAGCTTTACTGTAATGCTGTGGATATTTCAGCCAAAATAATCTAATGTCGTAGACAAGTCTTGTGGTGAATATTTTTGGAAGTTTTGCTAGGAACTTGCATCAGGGAAAAGACCAAAGTTGGTAAGATCTTTTGAAATAAGATGTTGAAAAATACACCTGTAAAGTTATTTGTTTAGCACATATAGTTTTAAATAGTAATCGTTTCAGCTGTTAGAACTGACTGAAACTCTAATAAGGCATATTTGTCATTATGTGGAGCCAAAGTCAGTTGACCTCAGAAATAATGTGTTGAAGGGGGTATTATGTTTCTAGCAAATTTACTGCTTGATATTTCCTCTGGTCTTTTGTCTTCTCTGCTGTACTGAGGTGGCTGAACCTGTATTTCAAGCTCTGTGCCATAAGCTTGCTAAGAATATTCTTTAAATAGCTCAGTATTCTATTGTATTGCCCAGTTTCTGCTGCTAAAATAGTTAATTTCTTATGAATATCGTTAAGCCCACCTTTATAAATATTTCATACAAGTATGTTTCAACACAGTGTGTGTCGAAATTATAATGACCTAACACCATTAAATCTCGGAACGCTTAAAAAAATCAAATTGTTTGTGATAAAAGTTTGTTGTTTTGTGGTTTCTCACTTTTGTTTGAAGGAAGCATTTGTAATGCAAAATCAGCATTTTTTTTGGTTGTGTAGAAACATCACAAAGCAAGCACATGACCTGAAAAAAAAGAGGAAAAAGAAGTTTTCAGTTTGCTTCTTCCAGTTTAAAATCCTCCATGACTTGGATAAACTCCAGACTCACAAGTTTCTCAGCCTTAACCATTTAAAATCTCTTTACAAACCTTTCTTCAAAACTTATAAAAGCAAATAGCCATTTCATTCATTTTTCACAGCTAGAAAACGACAATTTGCCAGCATGTTACTCACAACGTGGATGTGTTTGATCTCATCATTACAATCAATGTCATATCCTACTGACGTCAGATGGTAGAGTCTATTCTTGTATTTACAAAAAGGGAGTGTGCACCTCACAGGTTATGTAGTGTGTTTGCACTTATGGCTTAGTGCACTTAAGGAACTACTGCTCAACAGGACCAATTGCGGATCTTGTCTTTTAGGGAGCTGTGGTCCGGGGCTGGATGGGGTGACCTCCGCAGACACAGAACCCCTCATAAAGGATCCAAGACCCAAGGAGCTCAGTGCCGTCTCACATATGGTACTATGTTGGAAAAATACAAATACGTTTCTTGTTATTCTAGAACTGATAATTTTATCATGTGATTTGTTTCTCAGGATGTTCAGGGGTACAAATGGGTATGCTGGAAGGTGTGGTTGTGCCGTATTGGGGCGGTATGTTCTTTAGGCCTGCTACTAGTGCTCTTCAACTGGCGCCCTCGCCTCGGCATCCTGGCCCGGTGCAAATCCTGTCCCATTTCAATGGCGGATGTTTTACTATTAAAGGTATTAAAGTTTGTTTTACTGAGACTAGATACTGATTGTTAAAATAATTTGAAGTGGGAGAAGAATATACAGTCAAATCACAGTTTTTCCGTAATAAGGAAGGATATTTTTTTTATTTGGTTATGACAGGACCGATTTGGACAGCAGTTTGTTGTAGATGTGCTTACAGAGGAGATTGAGGAAGGCAGGTGAGACCCACAGTACATTTATTACTCATGCTTCTCCTTTTTTGTATTTATGCATTTCTTTCAGTTTCCTTTAGAAAGGAGCCAGCTACTTGTGTTAACCCACTCTTTGCATTTTAAAAACTTTTAAAATGTTTACTAAAAGTTGTGAAGGTGCAAACCTATAACATAGCACTATATTTAGATTTATACCAATATTGAATTTCACCCCCAAAATCAAAAGAAAAAAGTTCAAATGTTTTCATGTATTTTTTTATCTTGAATAATTTAATGTAACAATGTGATTTCACAGTATTTTAATCTAATTTTAATTCATTCTAATCCCATTAAATTATTTTTCACTGTGACATTATTTTCATGACAATTAAACACTTTCTCACCTAAATTGTCATTGCTGTAATGTGGGAAAAATTATATAATATTTAAATGGTAAAATATAATTATATGTAATTTCAAAGGTATTTCTGTGTCATGGTAGTATTTGTTGTACTCAAATTAATTTATCCTGAGTTTAATAAAAAATGAATGCCCAGACAGTATATTTTTATAACCGTGTTTATTTGACTGTATTTATTTATAATATTAATTACATATTTAAATGATTTTCAGTAACATTTATAGAGCCATTAATCGAACTCTTATGTTGAACTTTTCCAGTTTGGAGTTTGCAGTAGGAGAGGCAGATGAGAATGAATGGAGAGACACCGTGCAGCTACACAGTGAAAAGGTAACATAAGGGCAGTCAAAAAAGATGGTGTAATGTACATTTCGGTTCTATCTGCTTGATCGTGTCTTGTTTTTCTTCCATCTAGAAAACACAGCTCACATACTATGTGTTTGAGGGCATGCGCTACATATGGATTGCCAGGAAAGGAGCCTTTTGCAAAGCAAGGTACTGTTTGATATACATGTATGTATTAGTTTACTCTAAGCTGCCTGAAATTGTGTGGTAGTAAATGATCTTCTGTCTACAGCATTCTCAATGAAGGCTGGACCTGCGCTGATCTGCATGACCAACAACAAGGACTGAGTAAAGCAGACCAAAGCACAAGGTCTGTACCCTTTCAATGCCTATATGACCAATGAACATAACAGTTTTCTTGTTTGCCTTACACATTCTTTGTCCTACAGAAAGCAGATTTTTGGGGCCAATGTCATTGATGTACCTGTGAAGTCTTACTTACAGCTTCTCTTTGAGGAGGTAGACCGTTTCTCTATTACATTTTTACCACTATAATTATTTAAAAACACTGTGAAATCAATACCTTGCAATTATAAACAGTGTGTGTTGATTAAACAGCATCATTCCCTGGATTTTTTAGTGAAATGCTTTGTGCAAGGTTCATATATTGATCTGCTCTGTATTTTTTTTCAGGTGCTCAATCCGTTCTACATATTTCAGGTGTTCAGCATCATCCTGTGGATGTCAGACAGATACTATTATTATGCTGCTTGTATCCTCATCATATCCTTAATTTCAATTGGTTTGTCTCTTTATGAGATACGTAAGGTATGCAGATATTATTTGTGCAT